CCACAGACATCCATCACTGGGCATCCAGATAATGAGTACTATTGTATCACGGGTTATAGTCATAGAGTGACAGTTTGCTGTCTGCCACTGATTGGTATCCCAAACTGTAAATATAGCCAAGGTGCTATCTCTTAAAAATACAGACAAGGTTATGGCATCGTGGCAGAGCTGGCTGTGCAGCATTGCACAGCTTTCATTATTCATGAGCAGCTTTGCTTCTTCCAAATAAACAGCGACCACTTATCACTTAAAACTTCTTTGATGGTGTAAATTCCTGAAATTAAAAAAAAATGACTTGTACAGTTGAACCCCATGTAATAAATTTCATTATGATGCACGGCACAGGATTTACAGTAAAATGTGGTGGCTGGATTTCTGTCTTTCCCGCACGGACTAGCAATATTAGGTTGTCAGGTGCCAGCCCGGCTCAGTAGGTGCATCTGACAGGCAAGCGTGGCAGGCAATTTGCCCACAGCAATGTCCCACAAACGTGAAGTGAATGATCAATTTTATTAATGGCAGAACACTGGGAGAAACTCCCTTCTCTTTTCGAACAGTGCCATGAGATCTTTAACGTCCACCTGAACAGGCAGCCGTGACCTTATTGCACAACAATCTTATCCGAAGTACAGCACCTCAAACAATGCAGGCTCCCCAAACACTACGGTGGAGACTCAGTCTAAACTATGAATTCAAAGTCCTGATGTGGGGCTTGAACCCACAACCATCTGACTCAGAGGCAAGAGAGCTACCTACCGAGTCAGGCTGGCTGGCACCTGGCAATCTAATATTGTTAGTGCTGCGGGAACGATGGGAATTCAGGCTTCAGGCAAAGTGTGCACAATTAAATGTGAACTCTGAATTCGTAAGATCTGAGTCTTGCAAATACAAGGAACGTATTAGCTCTTCTATTAGCCATTTCTTTGTAATATTTCAGCGCAAGGTAATTTTTTCAAACCTGGAAGGTGCAGGTTCCAATACGAAGCCCACATGCTGTGGGTTGTATGCACTCATGGGGTGTTGTTTGATGTTCACATGTCCCTAGCAAGACTCTCAGAGGCTGAGAGCTCTGCATTGTGAAATATGCAGAACAGCTGTTTTTTAGACGTCCTGGGGCAGAATTATTGGCATGGTTTTGCATAGATACCCTGTGTGCATCTGCACGGATAGTTTCTGAGCTTGGAGCTTGATCACATGTTGGCTTGTACCAACCCCAAGGACAATGGTGATTCTGTATTCCCAACTGCACTCGCTGTATCCTTTGTGATGTGTAAGGAGTAGGGCTATTTACAGCCCTCCTATATCTACCGCAATACCTATAATTAATAGGAGAATCTATAATTATAATAATCCGTACATTTATTATTGTGTCTTAACACATCATCAAAATGTCTCTTTAAGTGTTTCACAGGATTTACTATAAAATGTAGTCACTATTTGTTTGTAATTTGAATGCAGCAGCCGTTTTGCACACAGCAGTGCCCCACAAATAGCCGTGAAGTGAATGACCGATTTTATTTAGAGGATTATCAGCCAGCGCACTGGGAGAAATTCTCTTCTCTCTTGTAATAATTGGATCTTTAACATCCACCTGAACAGGCAGGCAGCACCTTGATGTAATATCTTATTGTACACCAAGAATGGCACTGATTAACACATCTTGTCTGCTTAACTGTTCCAATACTTTTGATCCATTCTCACTTTTCTCTGTTGGAAATATACAAAATTGCACCCAGATATTACAGGAAATAAATATCTGTGGTATTCCGAGACTGTGGAGTGGACCAGATTAACTTAAATTTACATATGTAACTTTAGTGTAAAGGACTGAGAGATAGCACTAAGCATGGCTTGGTATTAATGTCTCATTTTGTTGGGTAACATTTGCCTACAAAGTCCAGTCACTATACTTCACAGTAAAAATTCTCTGGAGTGCTTTGAGCGATCTTAATGAAGTGATAAGCGCTGTATCAAATGCAAATGCTATTACTAACCGATTTTATTTCAGATACTCGAAAGAAAACTTTCTACAGATATTTTAATCCCTTATGTACATTTGATTTTCAGCCGCTATCTAATTGTACCAATTTCAGTAGCACTTCCATAAGTGAGCAGAAGCTCAGCATCTGCACAGCTCTATTGTTGAGAGCTAGTGCTGGAGGCAAAACACAAAGTGGCTCATCTCATCACATCTCCACTGTGCTGTGCAGCAGTAAAGTCGAGAGATTCAACAGTAAGATTTAATATGCAGCGATTTCAAATGAAATGGAATGCCTTAATAAGGAAACCAAAAGCGATTCATGAGCGTAGGAACTGTGTTCCAGCTCCACCTATATTTCGCCCACAAATACGCAATCAATCCGCTTTACAGTATATTCTGTGAAGCGCTTTGAGACGTCTCAACGACATGATAAGGCACGATACCAAATGCAAGGATTATTATTATTATTACCTACTTCCAAAGCCGGGTTGCTGAGAGTTCGTGTGACATATCTCAGGTTACCGGAAGGACTTGGTTGGAAATTGCGGAACCTTAGAGCTCACTGCAAAGATGAAGTTACAGTTATTTGCTGAATGTAACAAAGGTTGTGATGCCATGCACCGTAAATATCAATAAGGCTGCATCAGAAGTGAAGGTCCCTGGAGTAATTAAGTGGGAAAAAAAATCATGCTGAGATTTATTGTATTCTTTATCGAACTAAAGTGTTTATACTGTGGGGTCGGTTATTGATAAATCGAGCAACTCAGTTACACACTAGAGTAAACAGCAACAATGATTGATGAATGACCATCCTCCTCTCATGTGGGACTGCTGGTTCATTAATTGTGATCCAGAGTCATTTTAGCAGTAAAAACAGCTTTATATAAATGGATACTAAATAGATGTCGCACCCAGATGTTGCCCTTCTCTAGGACAGCTTTTGGACCTGTATTTTGTAGAAACCAATGAACCTTCAACAGAGCAATCAATGGGTATTTTTGATTTAATTTATTGTACTTTTACTTATTGGTTGATGCCTCTGCTGACAGAGATAAGACGTGGTCATGCAGAGGAGAAGAACATCTGTTTGTGTACATTGATGTTTCACAGCTGGCTCAGGTCATCAACTGTTGCTGTCAATCCTGATAATTGCTCCCTTATATGACTATGAAGAGATTTCCATATGAATTTGGATCCCTAGATCCTTTAACAATGTCCATGAGAAATTCCAACACAGTTCCTAGTGTGCATAGGCTGAAAGCACAAAGTACCCTTAAGTTTCTAATGAATTGGTATTAGATATAAATATAGAGTTTAGGAGAATATAAATACAGTTTAGGATTTTATGGGTTGGGTGGTAAAGTGAGAATGTGGAGTTCAATGTCGGAAGCTGTGGTTGAAGCTAAAAGTAATTGAGGAGAAACTTGATGCAGATACGAGGAAGAAGAGAATAGATGGGGTAGAGCAGAAGCAGAGGTTGTGCGGAGAAAACACTGGGATGGACAAGTTGGTGAATGGCTTGTTTCCGAGTCGTGACATTCTGTTTGAGTAAAATTATGCTCTTCAATAACATTATAAAGAACAAGCCACAGTGAGCCATCAGTCAGAGGAGTATATGTAAAAGCTGGTCTCCCACTCCGTATTGCTGTAAGTGAATCACATTGCATAAATGTGCATACATTTTATGCTACAATGTAGCATAAAAGAGGCAAAAATAAGTCCAAGTAGATCTGTATTTTCCAAATCAGATCAAGCTGGAGTTTTAAATTAAATTTGAAAGGCCATTTAGTTAGCTATTACTAAGTCGAGAATCTGCCGTTTTAGCTTTAACCATTGAGCGCTGCTTTGCTTTGTTCATCATTACCAAGTGTTAGCTTCTAGATGAAAGATAGTCAATATTCTCTCTGTTAGGCTAGATTAGTGATCCAAAATATTTAGATGAAACACTTGGGGAAAGTGCTATAATTATTATTTTCGGTCCTGATGCTGGGGAAAAAAAACAGTGAGGGTTTCAGGCAGTAAGCAGTTCCGTGCACTTAGCTCCTGCTTAAGAGAAACATCTGAGATTTAAACTCTTTGTCTATGGATTGGAACCAAAAGTTATAATACCTCTGCCCACTCTCCGTTCAGGATTAACTTAAGAGCTGCTTAATATTTCAGGGCTTGTTTTCTCCTATACAGTGACAATTAATTTTGTGGATTTGGATGGTCTTCTTATTACCCAATGCACCATAAAATACATTTAATGGAGCTCAATTGCCTAAAAAAAAAGCATTAGAAGTTGCCCATTAAAGGATTTGAGACGCCTCAACAAAATGATAAGACACTATAAATAATAAGAATCCTTGCATTTGATATAGCGCCTTATCATGTCTTCGAGACGTCTCTCAGCGCTTCACAGAATATACTGTAAACTGAATTGACCGTATATCATGTGGGCTATATCAAATGCAGAAGTTATTATTATTATTCATGTTAGAGATGCTCCTCTATATAGCAAAACCTTCCTCTCACACATACAGTGAGGTATTTCACTGTGAGTGGACTGTTATAAGATGCCATCAAAGGTGAAGTATTCCCCACGTCTTACCAATGATGGGTTCCATCTATTTTCTTTCCCTTTGTGAGAGATTGTGTCAGGTCATTCAGGAAAAGTAAATAAATCTAAACTTGAAGCGATATTGGGTTGAGATATTTATAGCGGAAGGTTTTCAAGATCTGTCTTGCAAGGGAAAGCCATGTGTCTTGACAGTACATGAGTAAAAGACCTCTATTTTTCTGACTTCTAAGCTGCAGTTGTCAGTTTACCACAAGTGAACATCCTCTAAAAAACATAATTGTGTTCAGCAATGGATTCATATGTTTATTTGACTGTAGGTAAAATGTTTGAAAGTTCAATCACAAATTGCACGATGAATGTTTTGACACTACCAATGTGTGGTCTGAACTCAAAATTGTTCCTGTGTAAACCCTTTTTATTTAAGCTGTGCCTTTTGAACTTATTTGTTTTTTTCCCCAGCATCAGATGAAAGGGAACGAAAGGACAGCCTCGCTGGGCACAATGATGCCTCTTCCTCGAAGCGCCTACTGGCAGCACATTGCAAGACAACACAGCGTAAACCACCTTCACATTTTAGAAGGTACGCACAAGAAGGTTTGAAATAAACCTATTTCCAGGTATTTGATGGACCAAATAGAGATGAAGTGTGTCGGTCTGACTCAGTTCGTAGCATTCTCTCCTCTGAGTCAGAAGGTTGTGAGCTCAAGTTCCACCACAGGTCTTGGAACTGATATAGTACAAACTGACCCAGCGCTGTGCTGGGGGAAACCACTGCATGGAAAGTTGAGCAGGTCCTACTGTCACCACCTGGAGTCCTATAAGGTACTGTTTCGAGCACTCACCTCACAAGCGAAAGGACCCGGGTTCGATTCTTGGGCAGGTCGCAACCTTAGGCAAGTTCTTTACTCTACCTGCCTAGGAATCTGGTTGTTAGTCGATTAGAAGATTGCTTTCTGGGGGTAATAATCCCTTCAAAAAATAATTAGAAGAATTCGGTCACTCCATTCACGACTGTTTGTGGGACGCTGCTGTGCGCAATCGGCTGCTGCGTTTCACTCAAAAAATACACAGTCAATTCACTTTACAGTATATTCTGTGAAGCGCTTTAAGACTTCTCAACGACATTATAAGGGGCTATATCAAATGCAAAGATTATTATTATTACTATTATTATTACCTGACATCTCCACGAGGCACAGCAGAGGAGGGAAAACAATCTGAGCTCTGTTTTCCTGAGCAACATAACTATCTGAAAGAAAGAGGTGGATGTTTAGGATGAAGCAGCCTGTCATGTGTAATACAGAAGGGAATCTGGTAGCTGTTTCCACAGAAACAGTAGCTGTCAGGGTGAGGATAAGAGTCAGTCTGTCAGCAGCATTTTGTTCATTGAAACAAACACAGCTAGTGCATGCACAGTACTGTAGAAACAATAGATGAGAATGGCCATGTTTATCTGCATTTTTGGGCCATTTTAAGCTTATCACTGTAGTGCAGTATATGTTTAGCGTAGCAGTATGTATTTCAGTTAGGTTTATTATGTTAATATTCTGTGGAGTCCTATAGCTTAGTGGTTGGAGCTCTCGGCTCGCAAGCAAGAAGACCTGGATTTAGATTCCCGGCAGAGCGAAATGATGGGCAAAGTTTCCATACTCCAGACACTGTTTGTGGGACATTGCTATACGCAACTGGCTGCCGCATTTCGCCCACAAAATGCACAGTCAATCCACATTACAGTGAATCCTGTGAAGCACTTTGAGACGTCTCAACAACATGATAAGGCAAATGCAAATGCAAGGATTATTAATATTATTCTGTAGGATACTATTAAGTTAATGGTATTGAGAACATGACTGATTTGTTGTCCACGTTACAAACATTTGTCTACATTAAGCAAGTCCTTTTTATAATGAGATTTTCTCCCTAGCAATTGCTAGTATTCCTGAATACATATCCCAATCATTTAGTGCAGAATACACTGTGATGTTGCTATTGATCCTGCTGTGGTTTAACACTGTGTGTAGATTATTGGGCAGGTGACAGGTTGTCACATCCATAAAATCTTTGATCAGCGCTCATCTTTACCCAGCACAAAAAGAGAGGTGTCAGATGCACCGTAGCAAAATGCTCCAGCTCATACCTAGCTGCGGGAGATTTTCACCAAGATGTTTGAGATGCTTTTCCTTTGATTTAATGAGTAAACATTTGACGTAACAGAGTGCTGAACAATTTTTAGTGTTGAAAGATGATGCTTATTTCCATTCTGGTTTGTGTTTCAAAATGAACCGTTTTGACATGCTCCGTGTTGAAGCCATTGATGTAGATAATAATAATCAGAATAAGAATAATGTTTACATTTGGTATAGTGGCTTTTCAATTCAGGAGGATATCTCAAAGTGCTGTACAGTAGATACTGTTATGTGTAGTGATTGTATATTTTGTAGGCGAAACACAACAGCAACAAAATTACATTTATAGAGCGCCTTTCACGTCAGGAGGACATCCCAAAACGCTGAACAGTCAGGTGTCGGGGCCCGAGCATGGGGGAGGGGGTGTAGGGGTGAGGGAAGGCAGAGAGGTGGAAGGGAGACCAAAGGCACGGTCGAAGAGAAGGGTCTTGAGAACGGCCTTGAAAAAGGCAAGGGAGGAAACGAGCCGAAGAGACTGTGGGATGGAGTTCCAGGTTTTGGGGGCAGAGAGGCTGAAAGCCCGTCCACCGATGGTAGGGCGGGTCGGGCGGGAGACATGGAGCAGGCCGGAGCCCGATGACGGAGGGAGCGGGCAGGTTAGTAGGGAGTCAGCGGGTCAGAGAGGAAGGAGGGGGCAAGGTCATGGATGGCCTTAAAGGTGAGGACGAGGATCTTGAACTTGATCCTCTGGGGGATGGGTAGCCAGTGGAGTCGGGCGAGGTGGGGAGTGATGGGGTCGCGGAGCCTGGTGCGTGAGAGTACACGAGCTGCAGAATTTTGGATGATCTGCAGCTTGTGAAGGGGAGAGTTGGGAAGGCCGATGAGGAGGAAGTTCCCGTAATCAAGCCTTAAGGTGACGAATGCATGGGTTGGGTGTCATCCGCATACATGTGGAAATTTACCCCATGTCTGCAGATGACATCACCAAAGGGGAGCACGTAGAGGGTGAAGAGGAGGGGACCGAGGTCAGAGCCCTGAGGAACACCCCACGAGACAGTGCGGGGGCTGGAGGAGAAGCTGTTTGCCTCAACGAAGTGGAGGCAGTGTGAAAGGTAGGACCTGAACCAGTCAAGGACAGAACCTTGAAGTTTGAAGTGGGAGGAGAGGCGGTGGAGGAGGATTGAGTGGTCCTTGGTGTCAAAGGCGGAGGAGAGGTCAAGGAGGGCGAGGGAGCCCTGGTCACACATAGTCAGGATGTCGTTTGTGACCTTGACCAGAGCAGTTTCTGTGCTGTGGGCAGCACGGAAACCCGATTGGAGGGGTTCATGAAGGGAGTGAGAGGAGAGAAAAGAACGAAGTTGGGAGGCAACGGCTCTCTCAAGGACCTTGGATAGGAAGGGAAGATTTGAGATGGGCTGGTAGCTGAATAGCTGTGATGGGCTGAAAGGTTTCTTCAAGGTGGGGGTGATAGTGGCTGTTTTGAGGGGGGAATGAACAGTGCCAGATGACAGGGAGAGGTTAATGATGTCATCGAGTAGTGGGGCAAGAAGGTGGAGCTGGGATTTAAGGAGAGGGGTAGGGATGGAATCGAGGGAGCAGGTGGTGGATTTCATGGAGGTTACCGTGTTGAAGACAGACGAGGGAGTGACAGGTTCAAAGGTGTGGAAGGAGGGATGGATATTTGTCGGACGGGTAATTGTGTGGGGTGGGGGGTAGGGAGGGGTTAGAAGTTGGGAGGGTAGTGGCAACTGAGTGGATTCCCTCGATTATGGACTCGAGGAAGTCCAGCAATTTCTCGCAGTGAGAGCCAGAGGAAAGTATCTGCGAGGCGTGTTGGGGAGGGCGGAGGAGCCGGTTAGTGGTGGAGAACAGGAGCCTGGGATTGCCTTTCGCCTCCAGGATTAACCTGGAATAGAAGGATGATTTGGCTGAGGTGAGAGCGGAGCGGTAGTTCTTGATGAGGTCCAGCCAGATGTGGTGGTGGACCGTTAGGCCGGATTTGAGCCAAGTGCCATACAGACCGCACCTGGCCCTTAAGCGAGCGGAGTTGGCTGGTGAACCAGGGTGAGGATCGGGAATAGGAGGCAGTTCAGGAGGTGAGGGGGGCAAGGACATCGAGTATGGTGGAGAGGGTGCTGTGGAGAAGAGTGAGTGCAGCGAGTGGGTTGTTGCGAGAGGTGGGCCAGAGGGGGAGGAGATCAGAGAACTCCTGGGCAGCGGAGAGGGAGATCTTCTTCCACGGGCGGTAGAAGATGCTGCTAGGTTTGGAGGCAGTGGGGAGAGGGATATGGGAGTTGAGGGAGATGAAATGGTGGTCAGAGATGGCCTCGTCAGTGATGGTGACATCCGAGACGCTGAGGCCCTGGGTGATCACCAGGTCGAGCGGGTGACTGTGGGTGTGGGTAGCAGAGTGGATGTGGAGGGAGACGTTGAGAGAGGAGAGGAGAGAGGAGAAATCTGAGGAGATGGAGCAGGAGGGTGAGAAATGAGAAGGTTGAAGTCGCCTAGGATGATGAGTTGGTCGGAGCAGAGGCAGAGGGAAGCAAAGAGGGTGGAGATGTCAGAGATGAAGGTGGGAAAGGATTTTGGGGAGCGGTAAAGTAAGAGAATTTTCAGAGAGAGGTGGGAGGGTTGGCAGAGGGTAAGGTGTTTGAAAGAGGGGAACGAGCTGGTGGAGGAGTGGGAAAGGGCAAGTGATGCCCTGGATATGAGGGTCACACCACCCCCACGATGGTTGGGGCGTAGGGCATGGTGGTAGGTGTAGCCGGGTGGTGTGGCCTCAGTGAGGGTGAAGGTGTCACCTGGGGTGATCCAGGTTTCTGTGAGTGCCATGATGTCAATGTTCTCATCGAGGATGAGTTCATTGATGGCCAGGGTCTTGTTGGAGATGGAGCGGACATTTTGAAGTCCAATGCAGAGTGGACAGTTGGCAGGGGGATGTGTGGGATGGGAGGGGCTAGTGGAATGGTTGACAGGGAGGTTGAGGATGCAGATGAGGGAAGAGAGGTTAGCCCCCGGGGTCAGGGTCGGGGGTGGCTTGCGGGCAGTAGTGGGAAATGGAGCAGTCGGTGTGGCTGCTACTGGACAGCCAATTTGCGCACAGCAATGTCCCACAAATAGCCATGAAGTGAATGACCACTATTATTTATGACATTGCGGGCTTTAAGAAAGTCCCTTCTCTTTTTAAATAGTGCATAGGTTCTTTAACGTCCACTTTAAAAGGCAGACCAGACAATACGTCGCTCTTCATGTCTTATCTGAAGGAAGATCACGTCTGTCAATGCGGCACCTCCCAGCACTGCAATGAAATGTCGGTCTGGACTATACTAGTTCCATCTCCCCATGTGTGGCTCGAACACACTCAGCGGTGAAAGTGCTACCAAATGAGCCAGACTGACCTGTGTCCTCTTAAAAACTTTGCTATTTTTGCATCGTCCAATTTTAAGAGTAGGAA